ATAGCTTTAAAAAGCTGGGGCTAAGTGAATGCTCACTGGGAATTATTCATGATGAATTCAGACTTTGCAAAAACTCAAAGTGATGACATTTGTCAACATGTGGCATACCTCATCCAGTGCATTAAATGCCCCAGTGAAACCAGACAATCACTATGCTCTCGAATGAACTCACAAAGGAAAGTGATAAAAAGCACCACATCAGCTGTGGGTGAACACTTTTCACAAAGCTATCACTCTGACCTAACAGTCCTCATCCTCAAAGGAAATCTGCACAACACTTCAAATGACGACCCTGGGAGCTTGAATTCATAACTTTGCTAGACACTAAAAATCATGGACTGAACAGAGACACGGGATTTATGACATATAACAATGTATGGCCCACTAACCCCGCCCATGTCCCCCAGTTGCCTTACCCCTCCCTTCTTTCCCCCTCTGTAAGTGGAGGGGTGTTAACAGGACACTTCACCTTGAATGGTTCCTAGAAATATGTTAACTACTCGTGCTAAACAATCTGTTCTGCCTTGTATTTAGCTGTGACACTCGGAGTACCCGTCTCAGAGCTGAAGAAGAGCTCTGCGTAAACTCAAAAGCCTCTCTCTCTCTCTCCGACAGAAGCTGATTCAATAAAAGCTGTTACCTCACTCACCTCAACATTTGTCAAATGTTTTTGAAGAATAGATAAATCTGAGGAAAACTCTTTTTAAAATTTGTCTCACAACCTTCGCTACCTCAGTTTTTCAATCTGCAAACTAGAGATAATATTACCTCACGGAGCTGTTGGGAGGTTTAATTATTGCTTAGAATGTGTCTTAAGGCCCTTGGATTTAAATTGACATTTAAGTTTAAAACAATACTATTGTGTGTACTATATCTTATCAATGAGGCTAGTTTCAAAGTTACCAATTTAGTATTACCGGAAGACTGTAAATCCTCAGGTTGAACTGACACATGAAATGGCTTAAACTATATTCTGGGACCAAGATTTTCAAGAGAAACTAAATATTTTGGGGGTACCCAACCTGAACCAACTGAACGGGCTCTGATTTTCAGACAGCAGGTGCCATGCACTCTCTGATAATCAATCCCTTTTACTGGTAACATTTATGTTGGACAGCCAACATCCCTACTCTCTTTTGGACGTTTTGGATTAACTCGAATATACCACTGTTTTCAGTCATCACCTTCAATAAAATGAGTTCCCTAAACATCTAAACCTTGAACAGTCAGCACACAATGGTATTTGCTCATTTTTCTAAGAGCTTATTCACTTTTTTCTTGTTGGCTTTGGTAGACTTTCTAACTATGTGAAAAACAATCTAAAATATGCAAATCTAGAGTTATCCTTTCCACTGTCAGCAAAGCACAGTTGTCTATAAGGAGGATATCTCACCATTCCCTTGAGTATTTCAACTACAGTGAACTAACTACTGTTAGAATTTTTGTACGATTTGATTAGCCTTATGAGAAGATAAGCAACTAAGCTGAAGAGACAGACGTAAAAGCCTGAAAAACTAATTGTGCAGCAATAGACCCAGGGGTAGACCAATACTGACTTTCACCTGCAGAAAAAGAGGTCATTGTTCTTGAGTCTTGGACCAGAAAAATCTCTGGAGGCTGCTATTTGTAGATATTTTATCATAATGCGCACCAATGTGGGGCCCAGTCCTGCAACCTTTTCTCATATGAATGGTCCCGTAGGACAATATGCATGGGTAAGTGATGCACAACTGGACACTATCTTTTTTGTCTAGTATGTAATAGAGTATTTATCCCAAAAGTTGTGTTTGGTTTGCTTTACTAACTAGTTTATTTTGTTTCATAACCAAATAACTCAAAATCCCTTTTAGGCCCTGATCCTACAAATGTAAATGCCTTTACACATGGGCAATTCCAATGAAGTCAAGTAAGACTGCTCACATATATAATAGTAATCATATGCGTAAATGTCTGCAGGATCTGGGCTTTAAGCTATACTGTCAAATGATTAACTAGTCAATCACGTTCTATGCTATTGCATTACTGAAAACCACTGCTTCTGAAAACTGTAGACCAAATCCTGGTCATAGGCACCGTCTCTGGGGTGCTCTGAGGCTGGAGCCGCACAAGAAAAAAATAGGGGGTACTCAGCACCCACTGGCAACCCCCCAGATCAACTACTCCTCCTGCCCACCACGATCAGCTGTTCAGCGGCGCGCAGGAGGTGCTGGGGTGGGGGGGAGAGGAGCAGGGGCAGGAAGAGGTGGGGGGAGGGGCAGAGGTGGGGGTTTGGGAGAAAGGGTGGAGTGGGGGCAGGGCTGGGGGCAGAATGGGGCGGGGTTTCGAGCACCCCTCGGGAACTCAGGAAGTTGGTGCCTCTGGTCCTCGTGCAAGTAAAATTACATTAGAGATCATTCAGAAGAAAGATTATTATATTGTTTCATGGAATCTGACTGGTAAGTATAAATAAAACAGACTTAGAAAATGGATAATTTAGCAATTCAGAAATGTGATATCTAAAAGTTAAAGTAAAACACCAGACAATTAGGGATAACTTGGTGCTCAGTGCTGTGAACCTTTAGCTATGTGAGAGTTAAGAGTTCATCAAATCAATAATCATAATGATGGAAAGTTGAATCGAACATTTAACAAAAATATAACCCTACCCACATTTGAACTCAGTGCTTCTGAAGAAGAAATTAGATCATGACTCCCTTCCCTATTCCCCTGAATACGCAGGTGCGAAATGAGGCTATTGAGCCAAGGGCAGTTGGGCTCAGTGTTTAAGGGAGAGAGGGGGATTCTCCATCTCCCACATAGGTAGAAACCATGAAGCTGCTTGGGAAGTAGGAAACTAAAACTCCTTTCCATCTCTAAGCAGCCTTTTGTGGATCTTTCACTAGCTTCCACAAAGAGGCATGTTCCAGTTAGCACCACTGCTGTGAGGGGGTTGGGGGATGGAAAACCCACTCCCCCTTCTGACATTCCCCACCCAATTGCTTTTGGGCAAGAGGAGGTATTTTGGACCCAATGGCTGAGTTGCATGTCTGGTTAAAAGCTCTGTTTTGTAGCTTGTCACTAGTAGGGTTTCCAATTTTGGTTGGGCAAATTCCTGGAGGCTTCATCACATGGCATAATATTTAATTAAAAATTAATCTTAAATTCCTTGAAACTCCAGGACAATCCTGGAGGGTTGGCAACAATAGTCACTATGATATTTTCTTGCAGCTATGCAGCACATTTAGTCAGCTGGAAGTCATCCTGTGCCTCCTTTGACATCATCCCAACATCTTGACCATGTCACTGGCAGTCAAGGTGGTGGAGTCACAGACACCTTTGGTAAGGAGGACTGGAGCTGGGTGGCCATGTATATGTTATACAACCCACTCAGAGGTTGACTTCCCTTGGAATAGGACCACCCACCAGTCCCTGCGGCTACATGCTGTGGACATGCCTTGGGACAGTACTAAGTCCAGAGTGGTTAGGGCTAAACGAAAGCATATGCAGCCAACAGCATTGCAGGGCTTAGTATTATCAGGACAGACCCATCCATTTTGAGTCCGTTACAGATACTTGCAGTTCTCTTTCGCTCACATGGTTTCAAGTCACTCCCCAGACTTTAAGCCTGAATCAGACTGTTAGTGTCTTAGAGACATTTATGATAAATTTCCCAGTACTTAGCTTCTATCTAACAATACAGGCCTTTCTCATGCAGGAGGGGCCTGGTCCTGCTCCCATTGAATTCAATGACAAAACTCCCATTAAATTGAAAGGCAGCAAGATGAGGTCCTATAACTCCAGTGACTGGAAATGATTCAGCTTGGGGCTTGACTGGAATTGAATGCTGTCCGAATTGATTCACGTCTCCTGAAATTCTTTGGTTTTGTTTGTGGTAGTATGGCTAGTTTGCCATTAGTTGACAATATACCATTTGTACAAGAATATGCTAACGCTTCATGAAATTTAAATGTTATTTTTGATTATTCCAGACCATAACTCTAACTACAGCTTTATAAAGTGGCATTTATCATAGGAGTTTGCAGTCTTAACCCTGACCAAATCCCTGTGTGCCTATGAACAAACAGGCTGAATGGGTTGGTTCAACTGTAATGTAGGCTCTGCTGGGGCTGTGAGCCACAGCTCTGAGTGTGGCCAGTGGGGAGCCAGCCTGTCTCTGATCCCTATGTGTAAGCGGAGTGCTGCTGTTTTTACAGCCCTTCAGGGGTACAGTGTACTTTCTCCCATAGAGACAGCCATGGTAGCTGGTACTGGAGGGGGATAGGACCATGGGCCCACTTCATTCCCACCTGCTTTTGGAAGACTACCACACCAGAGGCTCCTACCAGGAACCGATCCCCTTACTTAGACCAACGTGGAGACTGACATTCTGGGCAGCCTCAAGGAGCTATTGGAGGCTCTTAAACTGATTCTGAGGGAAGCCCACTTCCGAAAGGGCTGTGTCATGTGTGAAGTCACCCAGCATTTGCCCTCTCTAGCAGCAGTGAATGGCACTCCACCACACCCTAGAATATAGTGGGGGAGGCTCCTTTGCACCCCCCACAAAAGGCTAGCCAGAGTCAGTTGAATTTCCCCCCAGAAATATTTCCATATGTGACAATTTTATTCATACATGAGTCAGTGCCTCGGCCTCCTTCACTGGCTGATTTTAGTTTGTTACTGTGATCCCTTTTTTCAAACAGCACTCAATCCTGCAACCGTTACCCACAAGAGTAGCCCTGCCTTCAGTAGGGTTATTTACTTCAATAAGAGCTACTGCTGAGAGCAAAGGTTGGCCGTCTTTTTTATTAATTTAGAAGGCAACAACAAATTTACAGAGATGTTTTCTGCTGGGTTCTATTCAAATTATTTGCCATCAAATGTGAAAGCTATCCAGGATATTTAATTTTAGAAAGGTAATTGGCAAGTTTTTATGACTTATTTTTAAAGAGCTGTTTAATTTATTTCTATAGACAGACAATTCCAAAACCTTATGTCACATACAGCACAGATTCGAAAAATACCTGTTCCAAAATTGTGTTTATTCTCTCTACTTCACAGTCGATTAAGTATCTTTTTTCCTGTCGTCTGTCCATTTCCTCTATAATTCTCCTAAATTCCTGAACGTCCTTTATACTTCCCACAGACCTGGCCGTGACTTGCCAGTTGTTTTGTACCGCTGCTTCCATAATTGCCTGAAGAATGGAAAATCCTAGAGGGGAGAAAAATACAATGCAATCATTTACTGAAAAAAAATGGTTTAAACATGTGAGAACAGGTTAAAAATTATATTGTATGAAAAGCAATATAGTAGATAGTAGCCTGCAATCAGTTCATGACCTGAATGACAAGATGGTAGGGACCAGATTGTGCTTTCTGTTACCCTGGTGTCAATTCTGAGCAGCTCCATTGACTTTAGTAGAATTACTTCAGAAATAATTAAATGAGATTGGTAGCTGGCCTAATAGCTCTGATGGTCTGACCTGGCCTGTTTGTGGTTTTATTAGGGTCCATGCCAGCTAAGGGTGTGACCCTGCAGTCCTCACATGGGCAAAACTCTCATCGGATTCAGGAGATGAACAGAATCCAGTGGGAGATTTGCCTGAACAGAGACTGCAGGAATGGAGCATTAATTGGTACAGACCCAACCACTGCATACAAGAATGCCAACTAAATCATTGAGCTGGCTACTGGAGGCATGTACTGTAGAGCATATTTGCTGATATTCATTTTTATTTCAAGAAATATTTTTAAATATGGAATGCAATAGTATTAACTACACTTTTAAAGCTTATATTAAGGTAACATTGACTCATTCAGCAGCCTCAACAGAGCAGCAAAGCAGCATGAAATGAACAAAGAGCTGCACAGTGGGAAATTTATGCAAGCAAACTGCAGTTCATTCCTTGCGCACAGCTGTGACTGGGATGCAGACAAACTTGAGCAAAGAGCCGTGAGCTAACTGTAATGAAGCTGGAAAGGGAAATCTCCTCCCCAAAGGTAGTTTATGTGGGAGCCTGGGGGCACTGATTTGTATTCCTTGTCTTGTAGCATTTAGTTTGTGTTTACTGACCCCCTTTTTCAGGAGGTTGAGAGACTGTAGGATATTTTAAATTATTTCCTATTTAGAAGAGTTCAATTCAGATAGCATAGTTCACCTACTTGACAACTCAATGTACCTACTTGGGTTCCAATGGAATGCATCCATTTCAGTACAGAAACTTCCGAGTAGAGTATGTTCTATCTAAATAATTTATTCATAAATTATTGAATTAAAAATTTATTTACACTTTGGGGTCCTTATTCATAGTCCTACTTTAGAAGCACAGAATTCCTTCATGTATATTCTACACACACACACATACATATACACACACGTACACACACATTTGCTAGGTTTAATTATTTATATTTTAACATGGAAATTTACTAGTACTTTATGGCAAACTCCCTCACCTGCTTTTGAGACTGAAAATCCTTGAGAGACACACAGGAACAAAGCATTAAAGATCTGAACTATACCAGTTACTATTCTGAGCTCAAATCTGAGATTTCATTGTAATGATGTTTTTTATACTAAATAACTAGACAAAGAGTCCGATCTCATTTACACTGGTGTAAATTTGCAACAACTCCACTGACATCAATGGAGAGTCTCTGGATCATTACTGGTGTAATCGAGGGCAGAATCTGACCTCTGTTGCTCGAGCCTGCATGTAGAGCATTAGTAGAACTTTTCATGGGGCTTCCCACCTCCCTTCAAAGGGCCCACACAGTGGCTACCTAAAGCGCCTTGAGTATTATTGGTTTTCCTTTGTATGGATGCATGTTATTGTCTTGTCAAAGGTGGTGACAATTTATACATGCTCTGGCTGGGAATCTTTTCTGGCATCCCCTTTCCACTGACACTATTAAAAGAGAGCCATTTACATATCTATAGTATGATAAACTCAATCTTCCTCAACATCATATTTTACAAAGATGGCTGTGATGTCTCAGAAAGTAGTATGATTTCACTGCGTACAGGAGGAAGTTCACATATAAGACTAAGATACTCAAGCTTACAAATGATGAATTCTGATATGGAAACATAAATACAATTAACAGGAATTTACAAAAGCTTTGTATGTAAAGATTTGCTTTTATAATATTTGTTTCTACTAAATAAGAACTATTTACACCTTTCTGCTTTACATCATTCATGTGTAAATACAAATCTTGTGCTTGTACTAAACTAATAATAAATTGGTCCACAATCTTTAGAAATCTTCCAATCAAAATGTACTAATCGTTTCAGTTTATGAACATTCTGATCCCATATAGGCACCTGCAAGAAATGGCATTGCTCTTATATTTTTGCAAATAAAGATACAGAAACACTTATGGATATTCCCAAAGAAATAAGTTAAAAATAAATATATTGGAAAGCATGTACTTTACTACAATCTCAAAGTAATGCACACTGGAAAACATAATCCCAACTGTACATACAAAATAACGGGATCTAAATTACAACTCAGGAAAGAGATCTTGGAAGCACTGTGGATAGTTCTCTGAAAACATCTGCTCCATATGAAGCGGCAGTCAAAAAAGCAAACAGAAGGTTAGGAACCATTAGGAAAGGGATTGATAATAAGACAGAAAACATGATAATGCCACTATATAAATCCATGGTCTGCCCAAACCTTGAATGCTGTGTGTAATTCTGGTTGCTGCATCTCAAAAAAGACATATTAGAATTGGAAAAGGTACCGAGAAGGGCAATCAAAATTATTAAGGGTATGCAACAGCTTCCATATGAGGAGAAATTAAAAAGACAGGGAGTTTTCAGCTTGGAAAAAAGAAGGCTAAGGAGGGAATGATAGAGATCTACAAAATCATGACTGGTGTGGAGAAAGTGAATTAAGGAAGTGTTATTTACTCCTTCTCGTAACAAAAGAACCAGGAGTCAACCAATGAAATGAATAGGCAGCAGGTTTAAAGCAAACAAAGGAAGTACTTCTTCACATAATGCATAGTCAACCTGTGGAACCTGTTGCCATGGGATGTTGCAAAGGCCAAAACTATAATGGGATTCAAAATAGAATTAGATAAGTTCATGGAGGATAGGTCCACCACTGGCTATTAGCCAAAATGGTCAGGGATGCAACCCCATGCTCTGGAAGTCACTAGCCTCTGAATGCCAGAAGCTGGGAATGGGCGAAGGGGATGGATCACTCGATGATTACCTGTTCTATTCATTCCCTCTGAACCACTTGGCATTGGCCACTTTCGGAAGTCAAGAGATTGGGCTCGATGGACCATTGGTCTTACCAGTATGGCTGGTCTTATGTTCACATTACCCATACAGTTTGGTCTCTGCACTTCCTGATTTCAGATGAAGCTCTATTAGGCCTTATCTGACTTAATCAAAAGAGGATATATTACAAGAAAGCCCTTTCATGTGTGGTATACCCAATTCTCTGTGTGTGTGTGTGTGCACATGTGTGTTTTGTCCAGCAGTTACCATTTCAAAGAAGTGCAAGGAGTGGGGAGGGTTATTCAACAACTTTTCTCTGATACATGTAAACATAATCAATTGCTCACAGAATGAAAGAATTCCATGGACTCCCCCCCACTTCTGTATCCCTTATGAACTTATCTTCAGGAACCTCTATGGCAATACTCCCCTCTCATCTTTCCATCCTTCCCATGATTTCTTTCTGTGCTTTGACATTTGGGTCCTCTTCTTGGTCCTTCTCTTCCTCATCTCACTCACAAACTATCATTTGCTCCTCCTGGGAAAGTCTACCTACCTCCCCACACCTGTCTGAGTCTCCATTGCTTTATAGAAACAGCACAAAACTCACCTCTTCCACATTTTCAAGAAACCATCAGCCAGTTTCCTGAAAACACAGCATTCACTATTCCCTACCCTTCAACATCTCTTTATGCGTATTGTCTTCAGCAGCATTTTACTGTAATGTACATCCTTAGCCATTATGAGACATTTGCATGAACAACATGTTCCCGACTTCAGTTGTACTCTACCCTTGTGGATGCTGCTATATTTAGCAGCAGGGCTATTTTTAAAAAGTTTTTCTTTGTTTTTCTTATTTCAGTCGCTGATAGTTTCTTTGTTTAACTTAGCAACAGTGAAAAATGTGATTGTCCATGGGGATCTCTCTGTTAGGGAGTGAATGGGGAAATGTCACTCCCAGTTCCTTGCACATCCATGAGTGAGGCAGTGTAATCACTTTTTCCCTTCCAGATAAATCTATTTTAGTGTGAGTGTTTCACAAAAGATATTCTAATATAACAGAGGGCAGGTGTCTAGCACTCATGAATGGCTCTAATTTCGTGAACCCCAGAAGGAAGCCAGCCAGCTACAGGGTGTCTTGATCAGTTTTGTGGCTATTGGTATGGTAGGCATTGAGTCATGCTCATAAGTAGTTAATGGGCAACTAGTGTTTCCAGTTCAGTCTGGGTCAATGAGCAAGCCATTTGGGAAAGGTTTTGTTGCCAATTTGTTTCAGTTCAGCTGTTCCATATAAGAGTTAATCAAAGAAAGTAAATATGAGCTCAGCAAAGAGAAACTAATGCTCTTGATGAAGTGAGCTGTAGCTCACGAAAGCTTATGCTCAGATAAATTGGTTAGTCTCTAAGGTGCCACAAGTCCTCCTTTTCTTTTTGAGAATACAGACTAACACGGCTGTTACTCTGAAACCTAAAATAATGCTCTTGTAGGTGACCGCGATAGGACATGTTTTTAAAATGTGTTCACTGATACCACTACTAAGCCCTCATAAGAAAGACCTTCTTCTCATCCTCTAACTCGGACCGAAGCTTAACATTCAAACCACCCAATGTCAGGATGCGTCCGCCGGTTCTAAAGATATTGGTGATATCCAAAATCAAATCCTTGTCATTATCAACTGAATGAGCTGGAGGCAAAGGCAGAAGTAGCCTTTCTTATGAACTGAACAAAACAAACATAAGTAGCTAGACTCCTATTCAGCAAAACACTTAAGCATGTGCTTATCTTTAAGTATGTGCTTTGCTGAAAGAGGACCCCAAAAAGATAAAGCAAAGGCCAGGAATGGATTATCTGCCACTGCAGCTGTCTATGCATTTTAAATAGCCCAAAGGTCTCCATCAGAGCTGCACCCTCTGCAATCCCAACGCTGCAGCCACACTTCCTTCTCTGGCCGTACTAAAACACAAACAAAACCA